CACACGCGGTCGCTCATGTGGCTCCACATGAGAGTTTTTGAAGCCGCCACGGGTCTCTTAGCTTGCTCGTTCATGTGCTCTCTCGCCTCTTGTGTCAGCTCTCTCACGAATATTTGCTAGTTGCTCAGATTCAAGCGCCAGAATGAGGCCCATGCCTTACTTGACGCGTTTTGACCTTTTTTCTCTGATTCCGTTTGTAGTGCAAGACAACAACAGCATTCACTTCTTGAAATTTCGCGTGAAATCTTGCTCTACAAACTACGAGGAGTAGGCAATTCGATAGTCTTTGGATTTGTACATAGGAAGTTCGCAAAGAAAAACTGAAACTTCACAGCTGTTTCACTATTTCAGGGCGCCTACACTCAAGCTCATATCTACTCTATAGCTGATATAAAGAAAGTTATGGACTACGCAAGGCTTCGTGGAATCCGAGTTATCCCAGAATTCGACACACCCGGTACGCGAAACTACGAATCTAAAGTACACAACAGTAATCCTCCGGGGTGCGTGGAATTGCGGACTGCGCTACATTCAAAAAGCTACGTTACTATCTGCGCTCTTCGACCGAGTCCTGCTCAGAGTGCATTACCCTTCTCTTCCTCTGGGATCGCATATAGAATGGCAAGCTGCACAGTCACCTCCGAGGACGATCCTTTCCATGTGCCTGGAAGACAGGGTGTACGCGTGTAATATTTTCGCTGCTGAAGCACGCGCAGTTCATGAGGGGAGTGGCACCCGGGTACCGTTCCTGGACTCCGTCGCACGAGTAAGCGCGCGTTCAACCATAGACAAATGCGCTTTGATCTGCTGCACACCTGCCTGACCGTGCCAATTCGCTCTTTGCATGTCGTACCCAAAATTTCGCAGTGTGACCCATGCAAGATAGAGATTCACTAGAAGAGAGAAGACGCAGAACAAGAATGCGATTGTCTATGGTTTAGCGCGTAGTTACCCGTGTGGAGTTTCAAAACAGCACATGGGCTTCCCTCCATCCGTTTACCCTATACGTCTGGGCGGAGAAAGTGGCACGCTACTCCACCTGCGGTCCCATTAACCTCGCACATGGCAATCACCAGAATACACCGAGGCGATTACAGTTTGTCTTTAGCTAGCACACGCCAGAGGCCTTTTGGTTATTCGCATTGGCATGGCTATTTGTTATTTACTCACCAGTGCCTCTTTACTTCTGAATAGTACACTAGCTGCTACGACCTCACTGAACTGACGCCAAGGTGCTAGATCGATCCAACTAGCTAGTATGCTAGCGATGCAGAGCCCCGCATTTCCTGAACTTCATCTGACCTTAACGGTTTTTTCTACATCATTATGTACTGTATAGTGAGATTAGTAAGTACCATAGATATACTAGTAATCCTGTTCTGTGGTTTCAGGTCATTCTGGATCCTGGGGCACTTCGATTCCAAACTTGCTGTCACAATGTTACAACAGTGAAAAGAAGATTGATCAGCTACCCAATATTATGGATCCAACGCTTCCTGCAAACTTCAAGTTCCTTTCCGAATTTTTCAGTGTGAGATTCTTTTTTTACCTTCTTTTCGCTTCCAGTAGGTTGGTAAGAAAGCCATGTCAGTTGTGTTAGTATGATAACTGCCATTTAGCGCGCACTTCCATGTTATCACGAACATTATCACAAGAAAGATGACTGACAGGCAAAATTCTCAACCGCAGGCTGTACTCGGATCCGCACCTCCCCTTTTCCGGGGAGGGGATGGGTTATCCGTTACGCCAAGCCAGCTCTTACTCTCTCAGCTCAGTCGTGTCCGTATTTTCCAAAAAAAATCCGAAGTTGTCGATACTGGATCAGTACCCATGAAATATCATGTGCAATTGTAGAACATTTTCGGTACCCTTCCCTAGAAAGTATGTCAAGCCGGTGAACTTTCCCTTGCTGCAACCATGACGTCAATTCCACACCGTCGAGCCGCCACCTTCTAAGAACAGCGCTGTGGCAGGTGAGCGACGATAGCAGCCCGCAAAATCAACATCGGTTAAGGACACCACTACCGTCAGATTTGTTAACCGCTTAATCACTAGCTTCCGCAAAAGAAACACGACGCGCATCGCAATTATGGGCCTCGGTCAGGAGCACTTGAAGAAGATTATATCATTCTTCTAAACGTTATCCATAGGCTCAGGTTAGCACTCGCAGCCTCGCGGCAAGGTCCTGATGTAGCCATTCGAGAACTCCTAGTCGCTTCCAGACTCTCGGCTACGTAAAGGTGCTGACGCAGTGGATCCCTCACACCTTAACAGAACCTAAACACGCGGTTCTCCAGTTTCCCCATCCATCGGCCTCTGCCCTCATCTGAAAGAGTTCCTGCATGATCTGCTTTTATGGAAGCTCGCCTTTCAACTCACATGGTGTTTGTTTTAATTTTCTCGAGGATAGACCGTCTGAGGGCAAGTCAGCTTAACAGCCACCGTGAAAGTTCCTGCTTGCAAATTCGAGATGCGGGCTCGTCCGTTCATGGTCACGAGCGGGCTATATTGCTAAGGAGAGTATATGAAAAATGAAAGGCCAGATATCATGTCCCGCCATCTATAGGGGGGGGGGGCCAAAAAAAGTTCCGGCCGAGTCACATATGAGCGAAGTTTTCGCAGCCCAGACAGAGGAAGTGGATATGAGTACCAGGGCGGAAGATACCCAAGATCTTCCTCTATAAGCAGGAGCCGGCTGCCGCCATTCACCTTCATGTACACCAAAATATGAAGTCATCTCCAGTCGCGGCCTGAGTGGAGAACGCCTTTGGAATTCACGTGGCCTCCAAACAGCTGCGGAACTTCTTGAATGGAATCACCCATGGATAGCTACCTGGAGACCAGTACTCTTGATCTGCAAGATCCTGCTCAAACATCGAGCAGCTCCGGCAACGTCGCTACGGTCCAGGACATCATCTTCACCCCATTCACCAAGGCGCGGGTTGATGGTGTGGACCGGCCGTACCTGGAATGGATGAACCGATATTTTCTTCGTGGGCCCCAGACTGAGGGTGTGCGCTGGTGGCTACATCGAGCAACTCGAGGAGAATATCCCATCTTCATGTCGTCGCCCGTACCTTCTTGGAAACTTTGTACTGCTACAGGATTGGGTGACAACACATTTAATCGAAGGGCGTTGGAAAAACTTTCGCCTACTTGGAATGGAAGAACGTTGAGTACCTGGAAAAGATGGAGTATTTAAGCGGGGGTCCTGAACTAAACCCCCTCAATTACTCGGTTCGGGCGGAGCTCAACAGGGTGGTCTACAGTGGCGGAATCAACGATCTCGCTCAACTCCGGTACCCACTCACTTTCGCGCGGCCGAATCTCTCGATGGCGCTCCTCCAGAAGGCTGTGGCGGAGTATCATTATAGTATTTAATGTGCTCTTTAATATGGTAGTAAAAGTGTCCGATAAAAATTTAATAAAGTGTAACTTATAGCGCCTTGAAAGTCATGGAGGCAAAATGACTTTTTTTTTGGCCCCCCCCTGTAGCAAGCGTTGAACAAGAACTGGGGAACAGTTTCACTAACTTTGATGAAATAAGTCGGGAGGCCGCTCTCTTTGACCTTATTCTCTTGAGTGTGGGAGAATGGGATGCCTTGCCTTCGCATTAAGAGGTGCACTGAAGATAACGGAGAATATTCGCAAACTGATAGGACTTTTGATAAGACCTTCTTACCAACCTAATCTGTTCATATGCTTAAACAGAGTGAATCTGTCTAAAGGACAAGTTATTTTAGGAAGCCTTGTCCCTTTTTGGTGACAAGTTCATGCATTTTGGAGGAGATGAAGTGGAAGAGGACATGCATAAATGCTGGTTTGTTTTATGAAAGTCAAGTTCTTCAGCAAACTATTAGGTTGTTCGAAAAGTCCTGCGACACTTTGTTTGAACTATTCTAGAAAAAGACCAAAAATCATTTTGAATGTTTTTATCTCTGATTAGTGGAGACTGTCTCCTGAGGTTTCTGAAAATGGGTATATCATGGCTCCGTGGAAGTTTTCAAAGCTTAAAAATACCTCAGAGATCGAGGTACTTCTCGACCTATCCCATATTATGAGTTCCTATAGGGCAACTCCGCCATAGTCGAGGAAGCTAACACTTACGTTGTCTTGAGGAAGGATATCGCTCGCCATAGCAGAGAGTTCCTTTTGCAGCAGCGCTTCCAGGCTGGACTTATTCAACTCGGAAGTAGGCAATGTATAGGTCGGCGCAGCCAGTACAGAGAGCGACCCTTTACTCAAGCTTCTTGAGGCGCAGCCGAACGTAACCACCAGTAAGTTGGCAACCTCTCTGGGCTCCACCTAACTGACAACTGCCATGCTTCTCCGCAGTCTCGGTTATCGGAAAAATTTTTTATGAAGGATGCCTCATGAGTTGAACCCCTCTGACAAGTCATACCGAATGACCGTGACTGAGTTTTTTTTTCCTTGTACACACTGGAGGAACATTTGTGAGATCTTGTGGTTGGTAGAGAGTGGTGGGGTCCTTGCGTACATCTTGCACATGTTCCTCGCAGGATCTCTCAGAGAAGTAGATTGCACAGCCAAAAGCAGATGTGCATGGGATAAAGATTTCAGTAGGTTATTGGTGGGACTTCAAAGCGGTATCTCTGGATACTAGCATAACGGTAAGGACTACAGTCCACTCTAACCAACCTCACAACATGGATGACGTCACGCTTGAATTCTTCAAAAATACTCAATTTTTCTCTACCGCTCGGCAATGCGAAGACCGCATGTTAGGATCAGGCCACACCAAAAGATCGTGGATCTTGATCTGAGAATGCGACCATACCCAGCTTATTCATCAAATCTCTAACTAACTACTTTTTTGATCCCTACCGCATCCTTAAGAAGGCAAAAATTCCGAAAATCGACGTCTACTCAAAAATGAGGTCCACCTCTTCTTCTTATCATAGTTGCCGTAGTTCTATAAGAATGGAAATGAGAAGCTGTGCAAAAGAAGGGCACTAGTCCTAGTCCTTAGTGGTGATTACCTTGTAGATTGGAGATGTCTTTTAGTGACTGAAAATTTAGTCCGAAAAATTGGTCGTGTATTCAAAGTGTCCCGCAGGACTTCGACCACGCGCAAGTACTATTGAGCGGTCTAAATCGTTGGACAAATGACACCGTTACCAACCAAGGGTTAGGTCTATGGCCCGCGACCGCGAGCACTGATAGATTTCTGGCATTTGCAACCAAGGATCTATACCTGTACGCTCAGAACCCGCGGTAAGGTTTAACTGCGAGAACAAAAAGAGTGGTTGGTGGTCGCAATCGTTCGCTTTTGCTGTCCCAAGCCCTTAGCGATTTCCTCGTTTCATTGTGCTGGCCATTGCTGCGGCCAGCACAATGCTACGCTTGGGCATAAGTTTTTGGTCGAATTGACGCGCCACACATTCCACTTTCATTCAAAGCCGCAGGGGGAGGGGGGCTGAATGTGGATTGCTGACAGAGGTCTGTGAACAGTCGATCTACAAGTTAATCTGTTCTCCCAGATTAATATGGTGCCAATGAAACTTAAAACTATGGATGGTCTGATGGGCTTCCCTATTACGGCACGGTCAAAGTACAAAAAATGATCGGGGTGGAACCAGCTTTTGAAGGCGGAGTTAGCTTACCGTTGCTGGGCCGCCGTGCTTTCATCAAGCGCTTTCGAGCCGCAAAAACTGGTTGTCCTCTGGGACCACGACTCCACCATCTTGCACTCTGGGGGTTTCTGTATTTTGGTAGATGGCGGACGCTGTCTTTAATTTAAATCTATATTTATT